CGCCTGCACTAGCTTCCTCTGCCGCATTCAAAAGTTTTTCCTCGCTCAGATGCGAGGGAGTCGAGCCTTTTTTAAGAACGCGACAAGGTACCACAAGGCAAGCTATGTGGCCGTCGAGAAAATACCGCACTCACTCGCGAACATGCATCTGTGGTTTGCAGACCGCGTGAAGATGCGCCCGCAGGTCGGCGAGTGCTTCCATCGCATGTGTAGACTTGGAGGGGGATAAGACCGGGACGATACAAACGAAACAAGTTGAGGACGGCGGCCCCGTGGATTTGATTGACACTTCCGTGCGTTCGTAAATACTGCCCTGGGCGTAATTGTCTTGACCAGGAGCAGGAAGATATACTGGACGTTGGCATACCGAACACCCGGCGGGTGTACGGCAAACGTCACACCAGGCGTTTTCACCACGATCCTTACCAAATATGCTTGTGGACTGAGGCTCACGGGTCCACCATCGTGCTCCGTCCCGGCTTGGTAGGGATGTGAGGTCGATAGTCGAACGACTACGGTACGCACGACTAGGAGACCCCCCCGCCCCCCCCGGGCGTGCTCCGTCCCGGCTTTGTAGAGATGTGAGGTCAATGGTCGAACGACTACGGCATGCACGACTATTTATGAGTACACCCACCCACGTACCCCCGAACCCCTCTACTCGCAGATCACCCTCCCTGTGGGGGTTCACCAGCTCCTGGACTTCCTGTGGGTAGAGGCGGGCCAAAAGGAGTAAGCCCGTAAGGGGCCCGCCCTCCCCGGGCCGGGGTTTTTCCTTTTCCCCTGGGGCAGATTTTCCCTTTTGACCCCCCAAAGCCCCCCCCCCCCCCCCGGTGTTTGCCATCGGGGTTTGGGTTTTCGTCGCTTGGCAACGACGTTGTAAAACAAGCCCCCCACTCGGTGTTTGCCATCGGGATTGGGTTTTCGTCGCTTGGCAACGACGTTGTAAAACAAGCCAACTCACTTCGTGAACTCGGCAACCAGGTTACCGTTTTTTTTTTTACCTCGGTGTTTTTTTTTGGCGGTAACCATAATGGTGGTCGAGTAGATTATGTTGTGCGGGGTCGAGAACCCTTACTCCGCGCAACGGGGGATGATCGCACCACGTTGTGTTAAAATGGTCAAGCTTCCTCGAGGCAGTTACACAGTGCTTACAACTGTCTCTGGAAGTGAAAGCACCAGAAAATAAATTAAGTCATACGTAGCTGTCATCCGTACGCAAGGAAGTAAGCACAAGATGCCGAACACCCTTAGCAGGATGCAGCTCACCCTTCATGCGACTCGCCAAATACCTCACGGCGCTTCGCGCTTGGTGATGTGAGAGCCTGGTCCGGTGAGAACCCGGCGTGCTCCGTCCCGGCTTTGTAGGGATGCGAGGTCAATGGTCCAAACGATTACGGCATGCACGACTATGAGTACACCCCCCCCCCCCCCCGCGCGCTCCAAAGTCTATCGAATGAACGGAGCCCCCCTGCTGGGTCCACGGCGCGCAGGCAAGAGGAGCAAGTACGAGTGAGCTCTCGAATCTTGCTATTCATGAGACCGAGATGGCCGTCGGGGGTTCGCGATTTTGCAGTAGAGAGTATATGCGTGCCTCTCATGCGTTGTTGCGTGTAACGGTGTCAGCGTAGGGAGGGAGGAAGTGCGCTGTGTTGGGGGGGGCTCTCGCTTAAGAAAGTGACGTCACTGTTTTTGGGCTACGGGCGATGACTAAGTAAATTGATCACGTGACATAAACATAAAGGAAGTAGGAAAAGTTGGGTCGGCCGGCATGGTTTCCCGGAAGCAGGAGAATTTGTTTCAAGGGGCATACATCGCACGCGTTCGTTGCAAGGTTTAGCGGAAGGCGTTCTAAGGCTTAACGGTTGTGGTAGTTTACAAGCGCCGAGACGACGTGGTAGGCAGAGGGGCCAGGCCATCCAGCCATGTGGCTCATTCAGCTGGGGCGGGCAATGTTGCCCGCCCTTTGCGTCTCGCATTAGGTATTCCCTTTTATATTATAACGTTTTACCGATGGCATAGTGTGTGGACGAGGCGAGAGAGTTGTTTTGTTTTGTATTTTTGTTTTTTTGTTGAGGAATCGGCGACTTTCTGTCGTTTCAACTCGCTAATGGTGGTTGGTTCGGATTCCACGGAGCCCCGCCTCGATATAACCCCGCCCGTTCGTTGTTTTTTTCCTGGTACCAATGCATGTGTTGCCAAACAGTGGAAACACAGTTTTTTTTTCCGATGTAATTTGAGGGGGTCGATCGTTTGTTAGTTTTTATGTGTGTACTGCACGTCTGTGTGTTTTTTATTATTGTTAATAGCATCGACCGCGCTAACCGGCTGACCAATGAAAATACGTCAGTCTCAGTGCGGTTGGAAACAAAAGACACGTCTAAATGCCGTGAACTGGCGGGGACCTTGTGTGTGTGTGTCTGTGTGTCTGTGTGTGTTGGTCCCGTTTTTTTGGGGCTGGTTTACAGGCCGTACCGCGTATTGTGCATGTGCCTGGCGCATCAGCCGGGGTCATGTGGTGCTGTTTATTGCCGGATTTAGGAAGGTATGTTTTCGCCTGGGGAGCCCAAAATAATAATCAAACCAACGGCTAGTCAGCGCGGACGTAGATAGACTTGTCGGTAAGCTGAGGTCTGCACGGCTTGATTTCGGCTTCTACAAAGAAGGGATAATAGTCGTGGATTCGAAACCCAGGCGCTGCACTCGAGTTGGGCCGGGACATGGGACCCCCGTCGTCCTCTGCCGGACTTTTCACGGTCAAGCACGCCGGCATTTTGCAGATGGGGTACACGGGCACTGCTTGTTGCGGATTTGTTCTGTGTGTGTGTTTTCTGCGCGTCTGTCAACTATCTAGCTTCTAGCTTGTTGGCGCAAGTTGCTGTACAGCACCTTCGCGGCCATTTTTTTTTTTTTTTTCACGCTCGAGGGAGAGGCTGTGCTTTGGTGTGTTTTTAGTCCCACCTACGTTTGCCCCTGCGGTATGCACCTGTTGCGTTCCTTCTCAAATAAATAGTCTTGCCGTACTCACTATGTTACGAAATTGTTGGCTTACCAGTGAGTGAGTTGGAAGTTTGTCCACTCTCGAGGGAGAGGTTCGGCCTTTTGTTTTCGCGTGTGTGTTTTTGTCCTACCTTGCCCCCTCCAGTTAGTTCGTCGTTTCCCTCTTTCTTGTGTGTTCCACATTTTTGTCGCGTTTGCACCGCGAAGTTGCAAGGTTATTCGCTGGCGAGGGAGAGGTTTAGAGCTCACAACTTTAGGTTCACGAGGTTTGCCCCCTAGAATCCACAGGGGCGACCGGCAGACTTCTGTGGATCGTTTATTTCCACGAGTGACCCTTAGACCGAACCTTAGCCTTGTAAAGGTGTGAAGGTTGGATTGTTCCGCATAGCGGACCGACTTGTGCGAAGAAAGCTGTTAACGAGACCGTATATTCGACGCCTTTTGCGGGCGTTGGTGGCCTCTTGGTTGTGCAGCGACCGAGCTGGGCCGGTAGTGGGTCTGGTCTAGCTAGACCAGGGTGTGTGTGCGATCGCTTTCGCGGTGTTGTTGTTAATGCAGGCTGTTTTGATAGGAAATTCAGCGGTACGTAAGTAACCCTAGGTGTGTGCTATCTATGTCGGAACAGAAAAAAGTCAATGGAATTTAACGCCGTCCTGTGCTGAAGCATTTTGTCTGCACCTACATATCCGAGACGGGCACGACTCGCGGGGTGTGTTCATCGCTGGACGGTGAGGGTCCAGTGGAACCACGCTGTACAAGTTGGGAGTGATGAGCCTTCTCAAACGATTTGACGGGCACTACTGCCGTACAAGGCAAAGGCACTCGACAAGCACTACGGACGAATTGACTAAAGGATCCCATCATTTTCGAGGGCGGTCAAGTCCATCACGGCCGCCCATGGCCCGGGTGTTTTTCGAGTGCACTTGCCGAAGAAACTCGAAACGGCTTGTGTTCAGTTGGTCGTTCCTCTCGAAACGGGTACATCTTCTCTTCTCATGGAGCACCTAAAAGAAGAAACCCTTTTTTTTCTAGCGCATTTGTATGACGTGCTTGTTTTTTAACCGTCGACCACCACCGGCCGTCCATTTTTCCATCCCACCGACAAGAACATGGGGCGAAAACTAAAAAGAAGACGAGAGGTCAAAACCAAACGATTTTTTTTTATTGCGCCCCCAACCACTACCCCACCCTTCTACAACGAACGGCACTTGTCCCACCACAACGCACCCACTAACCACTTCCACGCGGAAACTCCGCCCCCCCCGAATTCCACGGCAAGGGGGACAGCAAAAAACCAATACTAATCCCGCCGCCTAAATCTATCTACCGGAGGCACCCCCCCCGCCGAAAGACGAGCCTCCGGCGTCAAACGACGACAGCTCCCCTTCCCCCAACCCGTCAAAAATGCTGTCCTCCTCCTGCCCCGCTCCACCAGCCGCCGCCCCCGACCCCGCCTGTGGTCGTGTGCCCGCCGGGGCAGGCGTGCTGAAGTCGATGCCCCCGCCCATCATGAACCCGGCGCCTCCCTCCCTGTGGGGGGCAGAAAACAGCGCCCCCCCCCCCCCGCTCTCCTTTCCATACAGCCGCCAACCCCCCATCATCATCCTCGAGCTGCTGCTCTCTGCCAGCAACGGGCTCTGGGCAGCGGCGGCGGCGGGAGCGGCGGCACCTCTATCTCGAGGGGTGGGGGGGGTCCGCGCGTCGAAACTTAAAGATAAGGCCTAAACGCAAATTGATACGTGACTCAATACCGATCTTTGAGGAAAACATCCAATACTACCAAAGCATCTTGGACACATCGATGAAAATAAACCTGTAAGTATGCAATGCTAAAATAATAATAAGAGATTGC